CCCCAAAACCCCAAAACCCCAAAACCCCAAAACCCCAAATTTCCCCTAAAATTTTGAAAATAATCAAAAATGTGGAAAATAGTTATCGGACTTGCACTTGTTTGATCAGTGTTGGCTAGAACAAGGTAGGTGAGCAGCAGGAAGAGAGGTAATTTGGGTATAGAGTGACTGCAGAGGGGACTGAAGGGATTGGTGAATTGGAGAGGAAGGGGATAGGAGAGAGATGTAAGTTTGGGTGGTGTCCAAATTTTGGTGGGTGTAGTAGGAGAGGTTGAGAGATGGTATAGATAGTTATAAGGAGTTGAGGAGAGTCTTTGAAGAGGTTGTGCTGATTGGAGAGTTGTTGCAGCAAGGGAATGATTTGGAGCAAGAGAAAATTGATGATCTGGATATTGAGGAGTTGACGTTTGATGTTAAAGATTTGGCTAGTAATTTCCGACCGTTTGTAGCGTATTTTTTATCACAAGGAGCAAGTAAATGCGCTCTTTATCAAGATTCTGTGAAACTGGATCAAATTATGAAAATACTATCTAAAAGAGGATATAATGAGACTATTAATCCACAGAAAATTGTTGAGATAGAGATTAGAAAATTGGCACCAAATTTTGATGTTTCTGAACTTTGTGCAGATTATACAATAGGTTCATTGACCCCATCAGAAAACAAATCTTTTAGTTGTAAAATGCCCTTTGTTCCTCTTTCTACAATGGAATTAGGAGTAGAGCTAAATGGTTATCCAAACTTTGCTCTTAAAAAATTAATCGACTTCAGTCAGAAAAGCATTGAGAACTGTGGAGAAAAGCGAAACGGGATCACCACCCACTCAGTACTTAACTACTCCTGGGAACAAAAAACTAACTCAGATTTAATACACATCCAATTCACTGACCAAACCAGTAAGTCCTCCGCTTCATTTCCATAGGCACCCCTGCCAAAACCTACAAGCTAGACCTCCACAAATCTTTCACAAAGGGATACTTCACCTCACCTGACTCCCTTACTGATCGCTACTTATTCTCCTTGTCCTCACTATGCCCACCTCTTCCGGCTGGAGGGAGTCCCTCCAGCAGTGAAGGCTGAGTGTGGCACACTGAGCAAGGCAAGAAGATGAGGTACGACCAAGTCACTGGGCAGTTTAGTGAAGATAGATAAAATGAGTTAATTTTGGTGCTCAATATGAAGAAAGAGGAAGGGGTTTTGGGGTTTTGGGGTTTTGGGGTTTTGGGG